TTGTCACCAAAACAAGAGATAAAGGGAAACCTTTCAATGGATTTCAGGGCACAACTGTCTGTTGTCTCACATGTTCTGTAACTTTTCACAAGCTGATGTGTGAGGTTCGAACCTTAGCTTTCCCAGGATTTCACTGGAAGTCCCTCACCTATGTGCTGGTGGTTTTTACTGCTAATTAGCGCTCTGTTACACCCCGGTCACATCAAACCCGACTTTGAAATCGTGCGGCTTACAGTAAAGTCGCACGATTTCAACGTCGAGTGACATGTCGATTTCAGGTGCGATTTGCAAGACATCTGAAAGTAGTGCATGTGCTACTTTAGAAATCGGTGCGGCTCCGACCAAGTCAGAACCGCACCAAACATCACCGCTCTAATTGTGGATAATAGGGTGCGACTTGCCATGCAATTTGTAAGTCGCATGGCATGCAAATCACATGCCAATTTGCATCCAGTGTGACCAGGGACTTAGAGATATTTCCTCTAATTTCTTGTCCTGCTGATAACGTTTTGCTAAACAAGAAGTGAGGGAAACTCTCCAAAAGAAACACATACAGAAATAAAAATGCTTTTCTTTAGTAGAGTAGAGGAAGGCTAGAACCACTGCCCGAGTTGAATTTCTGCCTGTGTCCCTATTGCATATGTAACTTGTACTATATCTGATAACTGCTGTGATAATGTCTTCCTTTGTTCTGCTTTATTATCCTTCTGCAGTGTGGACAGGGCTAAACTGAATATTTATCAAAGCAGAAGAGCAGCAGCCATCTTAAAGGGACCAATTTGTCTCCAGTTGGGACTGATTCGATCATGGAGATGACTGGCTGGTGCAACAGAGCAAGAGCAAGGGGAAGGGGTCTGCAAGCTGATGAGGAAGAGGAGGGGGGCTGTCTGGAAACAAGCAGGTGTGGGGGAAAAGACTGGGCTGCTGCTGTTAGCTGAACATAACTTTGCTATAGCTGACCACAATCCGGACAAACTGCTCCTCACACAGTGTGAGGTGTGATTTGGATGCCTGGTGCTATCAGACTTTACTGGAGTGCACTTCTACCTCTTGTAAAGAAGGAAAAGAGAGACTGTCTCAGCAGGATTGAAATAGAGAGATCATCAGCAACTCCTATTCCTATCTGACTTGGACTGGACTTTTACTGAATCAGAGCCCATGTCTGGAGACCTAGAAGAGGGTATCTTGGATATGGTAAAAGACTAACATTGCACAAGTTAATCTGTTGTCTGCTGGGAACTGTTGTGCTTTCTCCAAGGGTCTCAACTTTGCTGGTCAACATTTTTTTTTGTTTTTCATCAATCACTGGCCAGTGTGACAAAATGTGGTGTAAATGCAAGTTAGGACTGTCTTTGTATCCTTCCGCTAGGTAAATGCATTTCAGTTTTGCTAATTACTGTTAGAATACTGCAGGTGTTTAACCATATCTCAGAGTAAGGCTGGCCATACACTATACAATTTTCTTTTAGATTTACCAAAACCATATAATATGAGGTCAAACCCAAACACTTTCAATTTGTATGCATTCAGGCAGACCCTTGCACTGCATAGTTAAAGGTAAATCTAAAGGAAATTGAATAAGAAAATTGTATAATGTACGGCCAGCTTAACTCAATAGTCTTTTTGATTGTTGTATAAGTACACCGGATAGTCCTCTCTATTTTTAGACTATGCTTGGCCTAATAAATTCTTTGAAATATCTGAAATTGTGTTGGTAGGTGCTGGGTGAGCGAGGTATGTCATCTTCAGGTGTGTAGAGAAATCACAAGACAATTCAGCGGCTCCTCTGGGGGTAGCGCTACACAGACTAGTCCACACTTCATTTCTGATGATATTGTTGTTATCATCAGGAAGTGAGGTAAATCACTCTTCCAGAGCCCTCAATGGAGGTAAAAACCAGACAGGGGTTCTAATCCTTCCCCACACTTCCAAAACTTTGAAAATAAGTGTTTGGTTTGATATAAACATTAACTCAATAATGTGACTGACAATTATTGTTTGACATACCCCTTGCAAAGGTATACAGTTCACCTGGAAAAAATTATTTTTCTGAACCAAACAGGAGTGTCATCTTAAAGGAGAACTCAAGTTCCACTATAACAAACAGCGAGCAGGCAGGCATTTATTATAGAAGAGACATGCAATGTCTCTCTTTAAATGAAATGTCCCTACCTGCCTGCTCGATATCTTCTCCTGAGGTGTAAACTGAGCTGCGCATGTGCAAGGGGAGAGGGCAGTCAGGTGCAAGACCTAACTAGCTTCTCATCCAGGACTGTTCCAAATTGACAGTCCTTGGGCCCCCTTGCCCAGGCATACCCTTAGTGCAGCTGGTTGAAGAGGGGCTGATGAGGTACATGAAGGGCCATTAGTGCTCCTTGAGAAAACACTGTTGCTATCCGCATTTTTGTACATAGTTGCTAAGCACTTTGTCCTCAAAGTTCTGCAGTTCCTTGGGCATCCCATATACCCCTAGCCCCCATCCAAGTTCTAACCCCTTAACAAAATCACAAAAACAAGCTCAAGTATTGTTTACTGACTCCAATCTGCAATTTTGTTTATTTATTTATTTCAGGTACTTATATAGCACTGTCAATTTACACAGTGCTTTACATATATATATATATATATATTATATATTGTACATTCACATCAGTCCCTAACTCTCAAGGGGTGTACAATCTAAGGTCCCTAACTCACATTCATACATACACATACTATGGAAAATTTAGACAGGAGACAATTAACCTACCTACATGTCTTTGGAGTGTGGGAGGAAACTGGAGTACCTGGAGGAAACCTACGTAGGCACAGGGAGAACATGCAAACTCCAGGCAGGTGGTGCTGTGGGTGGGATTCGAACCAATAACCCTAGTACTGCCAGGAGGAAGTGCTAACCGCTAAGCCACTGTGCCGCCCCAAAATGTGGAAGAAATGCGTGTTGCCTGGCTGTGCAGAGCTTTAGGGGGACCCAAAACTCAACGACTCCTAAGGGGGTAGTACTACATATAGACACTATATTGGCAAGTATTGGGACGCCTGCCTTTACACGCACATTAACATTAGGCACCCCAGTCTTAGTCCATAGGGTTCAATATTGAGTTGGCCCGCCCTTTGCAGCTATAACAGCTCTTCTGGGAAGGATGTCCACAAGGTTTAGGAGTGTGTCTATGGGAATGTTTGATCATTCTTCCAGAAGCACACTTTTGAGGGCACTGATGTTGGACGTGAAGGCCTGGTTCGCAGTCTCCGCTCTAATTCATCTCAAGGTGTTCTATCGGGTTGAGGTCAGTACTCTGTGCAGGCCAGTCAAGTTCCTCCACACCAAACTCGCTCATCCATGTCTTTATGGACCTTGCTTTGTGCACTTGGGTCCAGTAATGTGGGAACAGGAAGAGGCCATTCCCAAACTGTTCCCACAAAGCTGGGAGCATGAAATTGTCCAAAATGTCTTGGTGTGCTGACGCCTTAAGAGTTCCCTTCACTGGAACTAAGGGGCCAAGCCCAACCCTGAAAAACAACCCCACATCATAATCTCCCCTCCACCAAACTTTACACTTTGTACAATGCAGTCAGGCAAGTACCGTTCTCCTGGCACCTGCCACACCCCAGACACGTCCATCAGATTGCCAGGCAGAGAAGTGTTATTCATCACTCCAGAGAACACGTCTCCACTGCTCTAGAGTCCAGTGGTGGCATGCTTTACACCACTGCATCCGATGCTTTGCATTGCACTTGGTGATGTAAGGCTTGGATGCAGCTGCACTGCCATGGAAACTTATTCCATGAAGCTCTCTACACACTGTTGTTGTGCTAATCTGAAGGCCACACAAAGTTTGGAGGTCTTTAGCTATTGACTCTGCAAACAGTTGATTTTATACACCTGTGGCCATGGAGGTGATTGGAACACCTGAATCCAATGATTTGGAGGCGTGTCACAATACTTTTGGCAATATAGTGTATATTTATTTATACTTTATACACATGTACACACACATATGAATGATGCCCTCCCCATTGAGGATCACTGTTTTTGCATTTTGTTTTTTTGTATACTTACCTTTTCAGTTGTCTTCGGATCGGCCATGTAACACGCAGAGTCGGCTTCCTCCTCTGTCTTCCTCTGATGCTGGGAGGCCCTTAATAGGGCATATTCACATTGCAAGTGCAGGGTGCAGTGGTGGCTCCCCCCTCAGCGGGTAGGTCCATGATGCCCTGCACTCACAGAACTTACTCAATATTTTGGATCTGCTGGGCATCATTCAGCTCTGAGGACATTGAGGAACACCTCCAAACTGAAGGTGAGTATTGCACAGATATTTTTTTAAGTACTCTTTATTTTCCAGAGGTTTTCATATACAGAAACAGAAAAGTAACAATATACATAAAGGTTTTGAGTAGTAGTGTGATCATATGTCACAGCTGATGCTAAGTGCAACACAGGCAAGAGAGTAAAAGCCTATATGTGCCTAGCAGCCATGAACAAAAGAGCATAAACAAAAACCATAAAGCAGACACATAAAAACATCCCAGAATTTGGCTTTAACCACTTGCCTACAGGGCACTTATACCCCCTTCCTGCCCAGGCCAATTCCAGCTTTCAGCGCTGTCACAATTTGAATGACAATTGCGCGGTCATGCAACACTGTACCCATATGAAATTTTTATAATTTTTTTTGTGACAGATAGGGCTTTATTTTGGTGGTATTTAATCACCTCTGGGTTTTTTTTTTCTTAAACCAAAAACCACTGAAAATTAAAAAAAAAAAAAAAGGTTTTTTCTTAGTTTTTGTTATAAAATTTTGTAAATAAGTGATTTTTCTCCTTCACTGATGTGCACTAACGAGGCTGCAGTGATGGGCACTGATAGGCAGCACTGATGGACACTGATAGGTGGCACTGATGGGCACTGATGAGGAGGCACTGGTAGGTGGCACTGGTGGGCACTGACAGGCATCACTGATGGACACTGGTAGGTGGCACTGATGGGCATTGACAGGCATCACTGATGGGCACTGATAGGCAGCAGTCATATATGGCACTGATAGGCGGCACTGATAGGTGGCACTGATAGGCAGCACTGACTGCCACTGTTAGATGACATTGACTGGCACTGTTAGGCGGCACTGGTAAGCAGCACTGACAGGCGGCACTGACTGGCACTGATAGGCGGCACGGACTGGCACTGATAGGTGGCACTGATTGGCAGCACTGATAGGTGGCACTGACTGGCATTGGTAGGTGGCACTGACTGGCACTGATGGGTGACACTGAAAGGCAGCTCAGATGGGCACTGATATGTGGCATTGATGTGGCACTGATGTGGCACTGATGGGCACTGACAGGTGGCATGGATGAGCACTGAGAGCTGGCACTGATGGACACTGACAGGTGGCACTGCTGGGGCTACACAGATCACCAGGGCACACTGATCATCAGTGCTCTGATGATCAGTGTACATGTCCCCTCCGAGGAATGCCGATTACCAGCTCTCCTCTCTTCATGAGCTGTCAGCGTGACAGCTCGTTGGGGAGAGAAATGCCAATAACTGGCATTTCTCTGTTTACATGTGATCAGCTGTGATTGGACACAGCTGATCACATGACCGAGCCAACATCTTCGGCTATTTCTGTGGATCGGTGATCCGCTGTGTCCAAGGGACACAGTGCACCACCGATCGCAGTGCTGCGTGCTCCGGGAGCCGCGCATGCGCGGTGAGAATGGGAAGGACATCATATGACGTCCTCCCAGAACGAGAGAACCACCTTGCGTCCGTCATATTACTATATGGCGGGCGGGGAGGCGGTGAAACATTAGGTTACAAGTAAGTTATACTTAGTGTTAATAAACCCAGGACCCTGCATTCACTATATCTGCTCTCCTACAGTACACATAACATGGAAATGCAATTATTTTAGTAAATATAAACTACTAAATACCTTTTCTCATCAGTAGTATATAGCAGTCTTGTGACTTCTATCAGTGTCCAGCCCAGCACACCAGATAAAGCTTGTAGGAGGAGTTTTCTTTCTTCTCTAGGAAGATGGTAATCCCTTGACCTCTGTCTGCAGAGTGTTGATCAGCCCTGTGCTGATCACATGCACTCTCCCAAAAAATGCCTGCAGTTCAGTCTGGAGATAAGAGGTGGTCACCTGAAAAAGGGAGGAACAGAGAAGAAACGATCAAACAGCCTTGTTACACAATGCAGAGAATTAACCCCTTAGGTTCCACAGTGAGTATAACAAGCATGTTTTACTGCATATACAGACTGATTTTACTGCTGTGGGTTTAGTAACACTTTAAGGAAAATCTTGAACACCCCTTATTTTTCAGTTGTTTCCTGTGCTGACAGCACTGTGCTGAAACAACAGTGAAAACAAATGTAGTGTAACTAAGCTCCCAAAGGCTGCAAAGAAAAGCATCTGAGCTATCTGCTTTTTGAATATTTCATTAAATAATGCAGATGGCAGTGATGCACAGTAATGTTATAATGGCACTTTAATAATACTGCATATTCACATTTAAAGGGAAACTATACCAGTTTGGGTCAGTTTTATTTTTAATGTTTGCCAGACACATCAAATCTTTATCTTACAAAAAACAAATTTAAAGCGGTATTAAACCCAAAAGCAAACATTTACAGTATTACATTACAGCTTTGGGATGTCAGATGTGATGGCTGCATTAGTTTTATTTTTTAGGCTCTCTTTCCTTTACTTTCACCTGGTTATCCAATCAGCATATTGTTTTTTTTTCAAAAGAACAAACTGTTCTGCAGATGTAGCAGTTAGAAGGTTGAGATAACAAAAATGGACAAAATTATTGGCACCTTCTCAAAATTTTAAGTAATAATTGCATTCCAAGTTTGTGATGCTCCTGTAATTTGTAATTAAACTCACCTGTATCAATTAACAGGTGCTGACAATATAGAAATCACGCCGACAACTAGTTAAAATGCTTGTCTGCTGTGTGTCTCTGTGTGCCACATGGATCATGGAGAAGAGAACGAGCAGCAAAGAATTGTTTGAGGATTTGAAAACAAAAATCCTGGAAAAGCATTGACAATCTCAAGGTTACAAGTCCAAACTCAGAGATCTTAATGTTCCTGTGTTCACTGTGCGCAACATTGTCAAGAAGATTACAGCCCATGGCACTGTAACTAAACTCCCTGGACATGGATGAAAGAGAAAAGTTGATCAAAGATTGCAACAAAGGATTGTTCATCTGGTGGCTAAAGAACCTCAGTCCACTTTCAAACAAATTCAAGCTGATCTTCAGGCACAGGATCCAACTGTATCAGCTCGCACTATATGTCGCCATCTGAATGAAAAGGGATGCTATGGTAGGAGACCTAGGAGGACCCCATTTCTGACACAGAGACGTAAAAAAGCCAGATTGGAGTTTGCCAAAACATATCTGAGGAAGCCAAAATCCTTTTGGGAGAATGTGCTGCGGACAGACAAAACAAAATGACAGCTTTTTGGTAAATCCCATCATTCTACTGTTTTCAGAAAAAGAAATGAGACCTTTTAAAGAAAAGAATACAGTCCCTACAGTCAAACATGGTGGAGGTTCACTGATGTTTTGGGGTTTCTTTGCTGCTTCAGGCACTGGATGTCTTGACTGTGTGACCATTATGAAATCTGAAGACTACCAAAGAATTCTGGGGTGCACTGTAGGACCCAGTGTCAGAAAGTTGGGTCTCCGTCAGAGGTCATGGGTCTTACAGCAGGACAATGACCCAAAGCACATGTCAAAAAGCTTCAGACAAAGCACTGGAGAGCACTGAACTGGCCAGCAATGAGTCCAGATCTCAATCCCATAGAGCACCTGTGGAGAGATCTCAAAACAGCAGTTGGGAAAAGGAACCCTTCCAATCTGAGAGACCTGGAGTAGTTGGTGAAAGAAGAGTGCTCCAAAATTCCAGTAGAGAGGTGTAAGAAACTCATTGATGATTACACAAGCAATTAATTTAAGTTATTTTCCAAGGGATGTGCTACTAAATATTAAATTGAGGGTGCCAATGATTTCGTCCAGTCCATTTTTGGGGTTTTGTGTAGAATGTGTCAGATTTGGCTTTTTGTTTCTCCACTTTTGTGTGTCATACCAGTACAAACAAAAGAAATAAACATGAGAATGCCTAAACGTTTGTAATTGCAACAATTTTCTGGGCGACATGGTGCATTATCTGACAGAAATGCAGGGGTGCCAATATTTATGGCCATGAGTGTATTTTGGGACTGTGATAGTGTGTCAGACATTCTGGTGTTAACAGATCCTCACTGAGAGGTACACTGACACTAATACAGTGATCCATGATTTACAGAGAGAAGAAACAGCGAGATCACTGCTCTGTGTACAGAATGCTGTGTGTTTGTAAACTCAGGGCTCTGTGCCGTGATTGGACACAGCCGCTCAGCAGGTCTCAGCCATAAATCATTGGCTGACACCTGCTGACAAAATCATCAGTGGGCGCATGTACAGTATGCGTGCCCCAAACCCAGAAGCAAGCCTGCAATATTTATTTACATTGCTGAGCCTGCAGCTGTCGCCTGGTCACAGTAAATCTTCAGTGACCGGGAGGTAAGCGGTTAAAATGACACTAAATAATATCCATATCCTCCCCAAAAAATCCATATATATACATTACTTGATGGCCCTGTATCCTATTTTTCTTGAAATTGTTTTTCATTGTTCTGCCTCCTTGCAACATCCTCCATGAGTACTTGAACCACGTCTTTTACCCTCTCACTTCTGTTTGTTTGGAATAAACAGTGTAAGTTAGTTGTGCTCATGTGCACTGCTCAATGCACAATTAGGATTCTATAGTCCATAATTCCTAGTCCATCTGGGGAGTGAGCAAGAGATGGTGGCTATGTTCCTACATACAGTGGGACCACGGAGAACAAACATAGCCACCTTCTAATAGGGAGTCAGATGACAGCAGTTTAAAAAAATGTTTAAAATGACACCAAATGATATCCTTATTCTCCAAAAATATTCCATCCACATCCATTACATAATGGCACTGTAATCAACTGTCCTTTAAATTGTTTCTTACTGTCTTTATGTAATGTCCTCCATGAGCTCCGGAACCTCTACTTTTCGCCCTCACTTTTGTTTGGAGCAGGCAGTGAACGTTGCGGTTTTATGCACTGCTCTATGCACACTAAAATCCTACAGTCCATAGTCCATTTTGGGAATGAGCAAGAGAGGGTTTCTACATACAGTGGGACCATGGAAAACAAACATAGCCACCCTTTGGGAACAGAAAGTCAGATCACAGCAGCAAGAAAAAGAATTTGGTGAAGGCTGAGAGCAAAAAAAGTAATTTCTGAGTTAAGAATATATACTTGAATTAAATATGTTTTAGAGTTTAATTTCATTTTTAGCTACTGGGCTCGCTGAAGAACTATTTTTTCCCCAACAGAGTGGCTAGCGAGAGAGTATAAAACATCTGGAAAACAGTCTAGTGCGCCATCTCCTGGTTGCATATGAAAATACAAAATATTCATATGTAATCTCATATTTACCTGATAACAGACATACAACATATTTTTTACATTATATTGTTTAGTCCTGAACATCATAAATAAGGAAGCAAATGCAAAACTATCATATATTCACTTTGGTATAGCACGTTAGGAAAAGGAAAACATATTTTACTTGTACTAGCCTATAGGCAATTAGGATTCATTTGAACAATGGCTTCATGATAATACTGTTAACCCTTTAAAAGTGTTTTCCATTGTAGCATCTAAATATGTATGCCGGCATTCCTTGTTTGTGCTTGAAAGGTACTACCTCAGAGAATAGTTTACTGTAAGAATCCCAAGTGACTGTGAAGAATGTATATAACTGCATGATTAAATCTTAGTAGAATAAACTGATGTCTTCCAGAATATTTGGTCTGCTGGATACAGAAACATTTCAATGGGACATGGTCCTGAGAGGATGAGCCATGCATTGCATATTTCTCTGAATTTTTAATGTTGTTTTTAGTTTTTTTTTTATGTTGTTATAAATTAAAATACATGTGATGCTCAATATTTCTATCTACCGCTACATAGAAATGAATAGGGATTTGTCTCCCTACTGCCTGTAGCATTTTTGAGGCTGCATAGTTTCAGGAAAGGAAGGGAATAATGATACCCATCTATTATATGCTGAGCTCTGCAGTCAAAATCAGCCATCTAACATTTTTTACATCTGAAGAGGTTACATGAGATGTATAATCAGGACATGCACCAGTTGACCATGTAAAGATGTGAAAACAGAGAATGCAAGGGGAGGGCAACATTATTTATGTGGCACCCTGTAACGATTGTGCGCAACAGAGACATGGAAGCTATACACGACAGCCATCTTGTGAGGGTCATCATAGCAGTGTTCCTACACCGCTCCCCCTTTCTTTGCAAACTATGGAATTTGTAGCTGTAACTTTTACCAAACTTCAAAATAACTTCTTATCTTAATTGAAACACAGAGCTGGCCAGGCTGTAAACAGCTAATTAATCTTGGTAGGATGTCTGTTTCCACTAACCATGGAAAACACTTTCCTCTACCCTATTATAAAACAATAATAACTCAGTCAAGCAGTCACACATGACTTGTAAGGCCATTAAAGCTCTAGGAATGCAGAGTGAGCGATAAAATGTCTATTCCACAACTTAACAATTCCACATACAATTCATAGAATTCAACAGGAG